GAGGCCGAGCAGAAGCCGATCGCCTGCGGCAAGGGAGGCAGCGTCAGTCGGCGACGGCAGGTAGGGATGGAGTGGTGAGGAGGATGAAGGATGGCAGGATGAAGTGGTGAGGAGGTGCGGGATCGCGGCGGCGTCCGCAATCGTCCGATACGCTGTCGCTGAATAGCACGTCTAAATGCCAGCACATCTGAGGCGGTGGAGAACAACGGGGCCGATGAGACTGAGACGCACCGAGAACCTCAAGCCTCTGAGACGCACCGAGAACGCAGTGAGATAGAGAAGCCGCAGTGACACTGTGAGACACTGTTGGGAGACAGAAGCACCGCAGTGAGACAGACCGCTCACAAACTGAGAAGCGAGACCGTCGCGACACAGGAAACCCGCACGAGGCCACTCAGAACATGCGCGAATGCTGTGGGGAAGTGAGCCCGCAAAGTAACCAAGAGACAGCCGGACGGTGAGGTAGCCGGATGGTGAACAGCCGGACGGTGAGGCAGCGAGACGAGAAGACAGCGAGACGGCAAAACAGCGGGACGGTAAGACAGCGGGACGGTGAAACAGTCGGATGGTGGCAGCAGGGTGGTAAGGCAACGGGACGGCGAGACAGGCGGGCGGTGAGACAGGCAGACGATGAGACAGCCGGACAGTGAGAAAACGGGACAGTAAGACGACCGGACGGTGAGGCAGTGGGACGGTAAGACGACTAGACGGCAAGACAGCGGGACGGTAAGACAGCCGGATGGTGAGGCAGGGACGGTAAGACAGCCGGATAGTGAGTCAGGTGGACGGTGAACAGCAGGACGGTAAGACAGCGGAACGGTGAGACAGCCGGATGGTGAGGCAGGGACGGTTAGACGGCCGGACGGTGAGACAGTCGGATGGTGAGGCAGCGAGACGGTGAGACAGCGGGACGGTAAAACATCCGGACGGTGAGACAGTCGGATGGTGAGACAGCCTGACGGTGAGGCAGTCGGACGGTGAGGCAGCAGGACGGTGAGGCAGGGGACGGTAAGACGACGAGACGGAAGACAGCGGGACGGTAAGACGGCCGGATGGTGAGGCAGGGGGACGACGCCGGATGGTGAGCCAGCGGAGCCGCGCCACTCACGCTGACGAGTTGCTGCCGGGCGTCGTCCACCACGCGCGCCACGATGCTCCTGATGTCAGGCAGCGGCTCGGCCGGGCCGAGGGCTGCCGCCGCCACCAGAAGGCAGAGCGTCACGCGCGCGGTCGGCATAGTGAAGCTGGCCAGCTGCCGCCGCCGCCGCGCTTTTGTACCGAACCGGGCGAACGGCGCCGACCGGCTCCACCTATCAGGAGCGAGCACGTACGACGTCAGAGCGGTGGACGAAATGTCACCCGCGTGCCGACTGAAGTCGGCGGGGGTGGTGTTTTTTTCAGTTGACTGGTCTATAAAATCAAAACCGCAGTCCCACACTATGAATGATTCAAAGTGACCGACTTAGCAGTTGTAATAAATAGATGGTTTACCATTCAGCATGAAAAGGGATTGGAATGAGAAAGAAGCATGTCGTGTGTCAAGAAGTGGGATCGAGATCTTTCATCGCAAGCCATCGTAAGGTGGTAACGTCGTATGAGAAGGCTATAAGCATCTTGTCTGCCTCCGAAAGCCCGGATCACGAAAAAGTGCAGTCTGCTGTACCTTCAGTCAAGGCTACCAGACCTTACACCACGTCTACTAGACCTTAGGTCAAGTGTACTAAACCTTGCGTCGTCTGCTAGATCTTAGGTAGCCTTCTAGCCTTAGGTCAAGCCTGATATATCTAGGGTCAGCGGCATGTCAGGGCGCCGTCCGACCCGGCGCACCCCCACGTCAGCCGGTCAGCTGGTCCACCCCGGCCGGCGGGCGACTTCCGGCGGAAGGGCGACGCTTCCGGTGACCTGGCCCGCTTCCGGCGCGCACCGGCACGCCGCGGGCGGCGCGGTCTGGACACCGGTCAACAGGGACGCACGTGAGGGGGCGCGGCTCACGGAGAGGAATGTCACCGGGCTGGGGACAATGTCACCCGCGCCAGGCTTCCGTGCAGCTGCCTGTCCTCGTCCAGCGCAGAAAGGGAGTCCCATGACAAAATGGTCACCAGTGTATTGCAGACGTGGCGTCACGCTCATTAAGTTCAAACGAATCAAACAAGAACACGGTTGAGAACAGCGTCGATCGTTAAACGGCAGCACGGCTCACGTCGTCGCCGGGCAGCCGCCGCGGGCCACCCTGCGTCAGACCTTCACGGCGGCGGAGGATGTCCCGCCAGGGGCGAAGGCGCAGTGACCGCTCACGCCCGCCTATCACCCAATCACGTCCGATTATCACCGCGTGACGTCAGATCACGACCGCATGACGTCAGATCATCACCGCCGCCGCTCGCGTCCCGGCCTCAGCATCCCGACGCGGCCCTCGCCGCCGTCAGCGTGGCACGGGGTCCCGCGGTCCCGCGGACCCACGCTGAACGGACGGGCGGCGGAGGGGCGCGGCCGCCGGCCGGACAGGTCACCGCAGCTCCTCGTCCGACTCGAGCGGCCACAGGGCCTCGTCCGAGTCCTCCTCCGCGTCCTCTCGTCGTAGCCGAGGCGGTCAGGTCCTCCTCTTATCCTCATTCCTCCTCGGTAGAGGGTCGTCCACCAGGGGACCGTCCTCCACCTCGTATCCAACGTCCATGTTGATCTCAATACGCATCCTGCGCATAACGTGAGCGTCACGCACTCGGCGTCACGGACTCGGCGTCACGGACTCAACGTCACGGACTCGGCGTCACGGGCTCAGCGTCACGGGCTCAACGTCACGGGCTCAGCGTAACGGACTCAGCGTCACGGGCTCAGCGTCACGGACTCGGCCGTCACGGGCTCACAGCGTCACCGGGCGTCAGCGTTCACGGCTCAGCGTCACGGACTCAGCGTCACGGGTCGGCCGTCACGGGCGTGATGCCGTGACAAGTGATGAGTCATGCTGAATACGCTGAAGTTAAATAACAGATCAGTGGAACGACTCACCTGCCACCAAACGTCATAAACTCTCGGGTTCGGCTTTAATCTATATAAACACACAACGATTTTCGACAGCGCACTTTTTGCTCGTGAGAATCGCTTCGCGGCTCGCTGCCGGTCGGTTGGTCGGCTCCGTGAGGCGTCGGCCAGATGCCTGAGCGACCGTTAACATCTCGCTCACAGTTATGCAAAATCTAACACGACCTTAACCAACTGTGTACAGCCCGCGCTGAAGTAGCGCCGCGCACGAAGTTACTCTCGCGCGAAGCAGCGCCGACAGACTTCACCCGAAAACTGGACAACTAACTAGCTGAACATTTGAAACATACAGCATTCGGCCTCGAAGCACACTGTACACAAGCTCTCACCCTGGCGTCCATAACGAGCAGCGTGACGGTGTAGCAGCACGGGCAGCCGCATGCGGCACTTCCAGGCCAGGTGCCAAGAGGAACAGCAGCGTTGACTTGACGCCCGGCTCCAGCGCCGTGGCCGAGCCCCAACGGAAAGAACAGAGGCATGGCTGGCGCGCGGGAGGGGCGGATGTGTGAGGGGCGGGGGCAGGGGCGGGGCTGGGTTGAGGGTTGTGGTCACAGCAGGGTGCTGCAGGCAACTGGTGAGCTTAGGTGTGTTGTGTCATTTCCCTGAAACAGCAGCAAGCATTTTAAACAAACATAGAAAAAAGCTGCAGTGTTGAAATAACTCAGACCTGGGGCAATAACACCTGGTCAGTAAACAGCAAATCTAAAAATGTTATAGACAAGTTTCTGCTTCATGCCATGCTGTACAAGAAGTTCAAAATTCAAATAAGTCTTAAGGGACATTGTGCACCAGACAGGTGTATAAATATCTGGTGACATATGAGCCTGACATGTACCTTGCCTACACCATAGACCAAGAGCAGAAAACAAAATAATCATCAGATTGAAATGATTTTAAAGGAACTATGTCCACCAAAACTTGCTTTTCAAGTTTTACTTCACAAAAGTTGTGCAATTGGTAATGCTCTTTCCATTTTTCTTCTGACCATTATGACTGTGCAATGCTTTGACCTGCATACCATGAGGATCATCTAGTCATGCTTTAATAATGGCAACATTGAAAACAGTGCCTAAAGTGAAGCATACAACATTATAAGATGTTGGAATGCTTGCCTTGTCGAGGGTTATATATAGGTATTTTATGGAATCACAACATATTTTGACTTCTCTATGCATATTTGCTTTCAAAATTCTTTGTGCCTGATTTGAATCTTCTTCTACCCCACCCTCTGGTACAGCCCATCCTGCATTGCATAGCATATAAGCTAGCCCTGCTACCAGGCCACTACCATTTGTGCCGAGAGAAACCAAATTAAAGTGAATTGAGTGTACTAAATGGTGAGAACAAACTATCAAGCAATGCAAAAACATGAGCTTTGCAGAAATTGTTCACTGATGCAGGCAGTATATGAAGTGGCTGTAGTTTGTGATTGTAGTAGTTGTAGTTGTGATTGTAGTAGCTTGTAGTAGACAGTGGTTGTTAGTTTCCTGATTGTTCACCAGGAGGTGTAAGGCATGCCCTTACAAACTAGGTTCGTTGTGAGTAAATATCAGACAGTGAAGCATAGGCCAGCCCAGCAACAGTATCAGCACAGCATGCACTTGTTATCTAAGCACCTAGAGTTTGACACCCAGGTCACCACCACCAAGTTCAGCACATAGATAGCCCATGGTTGAATAAATTGTAATGTTGTAACGATAATGTCAGGCAAAAGATACTCAAAACTTATATCTCATGTAAAGTTGAGAATTCAGTACAATTTGACCCGACATGGGTTTGGCCCACCACTGGGTGAGGTTTCAGTGCACTGAAGACACATGGGAGTCTGGTGCAGGAGCTAGATTTTTTGCAGACTTTGATAGCACTGCATGGCCTGATGCCCCAGCAATAACTGACATGACTTGGCCCCTTTAGATAAGAACTCCACCCTCAAGCCAAAACTGCAAAAAATGCATGTTGCACCACACAAAGCAGGGGCATTGTGGCAATAATTTCGGCGCACGTACAAAACAGTTTCAAAATCCCAGATCCCTTCGCTTGGTGCATGGTGGGCACGATTTCAGTACACGGAACCTATGCTTTCAGAAATTGGGCTGTCTCACGCGTATACTCCGGCAGACTTCATCTCTCTCGCACTAAGGCCATCAAAGAACCTTTGAGTTTCACTAGCCGGGTAAAACATTACCTAGGTACTTACACAGATGTTCTCCCCCCGCTCCCACCCAAGCGTCCTCTTCTTAATCGCTGTGGGCGTTTCAGCTTTGCAAAACAGAAGTTAACACAAACTGCGCCACAATACGCTTCGCTGCGCCAGGGACAGCGCGTGACGTCACACCCGGCTGCATCGCAGACAGCCCAAGGCGATTGAGTCCGCAGCCCACAGATTTTTCCATGGCATGCTGGCCGAAATCTGGGGGTCCAGGCGCCTAGTATCGCGAAATTTCAATATGGGCTAGTTGGTGGGGGGCAATGCGCCACGAGAAATTAACCTGAACTTCCTCCACCACACGCCGGCAAAACGGGTTTTCTCCCCGGATTTGGCCCATTTTTTCCAAAGTTGGGGCGGTCTGGAGCTCCCCCACAACTGAGAAGGAAACTACCACCCTGGCCCTCGCGAAGCCTGTACTGCCTGGCCTGGTTAACGTGACAATCATAGCACGCGCCTTGCCGCTGCCTACGGTGGGGTCTGGAGGATCGCCCAACCAGTAAAATTATGTCACTGCAAGGCACATGAACACCCGAAGGAGCGATGCGACGAGATGGTGTCAATTTCGACACGGCCGGAGAGCAGCACCCCGTTCTAACAGCACAGCCGGTGTCTGCACCCCGTGCAGTTTCCCTCGCCAGTCGCTGATCAGGACGGAAGGTTGGGAATCGGCACTGTGGTCATATCCCCCATGCCAAATACACCGGGCCCGATCTGACTGACCGACTGAGAAACGCAGCCCGACGGAATCGCTGACATTCCCTGTCGGTGAAAACCTCGCAGGGCCCTGCCATCGGTCATCCGAACCGTCACCGGTTCCACACTCCGCGACAGACACTGGTGAATGAATGTATTATGTTTACAATGAACAGGGCGACAGAGTGCGCCGGCTGTTGCCGGATTTCCAGGCGGCCGTTAGAGACACATACGCCACAGCGACTTTTCCTACGCGCAGCACGGCGCTGAGGCTCCCGGCCGGCGGGAGCACCCAC